TTTCAGCTCCATTTTAAAGGCGAGTTAAAATAAACATGGGGAATATTTATAAGGCAAATAAATCTGGCAGAAACAGCCCCTCCAAGTGTGAGTGGAGGCCTCCCCTCAGCCCCAGCCCAAGCTGATAAAATACAGAAATGCTACTGTAGACCCTCCGGGCTTATTTTGACTGCGGCAGAGGAATGTAACATGTAAACACTGACTCCCATATTACACTGTTACAACTTGCATTAACAGCGCCGGACAAAAGCCGCATTTTCACAGAAGCATCGTACAGGGATATATCTCCAGCTTAATTTTTAAAAAAACCATTTCCTCACATAAATCATGCTCAGAATGAAACGGGTGACTGATACATTGCAAACACTTTTTTCTTAAACAATAACATACCTAGATTCCTTCTAAACGAAAGAGCTTTAAAAAAAATCTTCTAAATGTTTTTTTTCTGAAGAAAATAAACACTGCAGTTTCTTTCCCGAACAAAATATCTGGGGCCGCGTCTTCCCGGCCGAGCTGGCTACTCCCAGCACAGGGTTGCAAGGGAGCGCTCCCCAAGCCCCAGCCACCTTGCTAGGGAGGCTGCAGGGCCAGGGCACCCAGAGTACCGGGCCCCCTCCCCAGCCCCAAGGGGCAGCCTCTGAGGGGGCCAGGCGTGACCAGGGTGGCCAAAGTGCTGGGCTGCAGTGACCGGCCCTGAAGACTCCAGTACATCGAGGGGCCTGGCAGACATCTTGGGGCCGCCAGACGTCCAAGGCCATTTCCCTGCAGGTCCAGCAGGCAAAGCATCCTGCAGCAGCTGGAGGGGCATCCAGACTCCACCCAGAGAAGCCAACATGAAAGACAACCAGAGCCACGGGCAGGACTCAGGACGCTGAGTGAGAACAGCGCCTCGAGATGGGCACCGGGGCCCGGGCGGCCCGTCTCCACCACGCAGGCAGGACTCAGGACGCCAAGTGAGAACAGCGCCTCAAGATGGGCACCGGGGCCCGGGCAGCCCGTCTCCACCACGCGGGCAGGACTCAGGACGCCGAGTGAGAACAGCGCCTCGAGATGGGCACCAGGGCCCGGGCAGCCTGTCTCTACCACGCGGGCAGGACTCAGGACGCCGAGTGAGAACAGCGCCTCGAGATGGGCACCGGGGCCCGGGCAGCCCGTCTCCACCACGCGGGCAGGACTCAGGACGCCGAGCGAGAACAGCGCCTCGAGATGGGCACCGGGGCCCGGGCAGCCCGTCTCCACCACACGGGCAGGACTCAGGACGCCGAGTGAGAAAGTGCCTCGAGATGGGCACCGGGGCCCGGGCAGCCCATCTCAACCACACTGCAGAAGAAGAGCAGCCAGCCCAAGGAAGTAAAAGAAAATCCGACTTGTGGACGCCCATAAGGAAAATACAGGGCTTTAAAAAAAAAAAAATCTTGGGGATGGGGCAGGCCTTTCTGAACATGTAATAAATCAAAAAGCCGTTAAGTGTAAAAGATTTAAGTTACATTTAAAAAAAGTTAAACCATTTGTACATCACACAAGTTAAAAGACACTAGAAGCTGAGAAAATCTGCACCACAAGCGACAGAGGATCACATCCCTAATACGCAAACCAGCTGGAGGGTAAGAAGAGATAAGAGAAGAGAAAAGCCAGACGGGAAAGTGGGCAAGGACCATGCTGGCGATTATGAGGCTGTGAAACGAGGCTTTTCACGTAAATATGTGAAAAGACCACCGATCACAGCAAATGCAAACACAGCCAGATCATGTGTAACCCGGCAGATAGTCAAAGATCAAACAACAGTCTGGGCGCAGTAGCTCACGCCTGTAATCCCAGCACTTTGAGAGGCCAGGGTGATCACTTGAGCCCAGGAGTTCAAGACTAGCCTAGGCCACATAGCGAGTCCTTGCTCTAAAAAAAATAATCATTAGCTGGGCGTGGTGGCGGGCACCTGCAATCCCAGCTACTCAGGAGGCTGAGGCAGGAGAATTGCTTGAATCCAGGAGTTCGAGGCTGCAGCGAGCCATGATTTCACCACTGCACTCCAGCCTGGGCAACAGAGCAAGATCCTGTCTCAAAGATTAAAAAAAAACAAACAAAAAAACAGATAACCCAGAAATTATGGCATAACAGGAAAAAGTGATCAGTGTGACAACAGAAAAACTTAAAACTTCTGCAGGAAATAATATCACCAAGTCCAAAGACAAAACACGATCAGGGGTCCAATGGAAGGCAGCAGGCAGTCGATGGAAACCAGCACAAGCTTGGCACAGTCTCAGGAGAGTGTGGGTGCTCCGTGGGCAGCAGTGACCTCTGCCCAGGCCAGGGGTATGGGAGGAGAGGCTCCTTTCTGTTTTGTGTCTTATCAAAAAGCTGATGCCTGAGTTACCAAGGACGGGAAGCGGGAAATGTACACACGGAATCAGCCTGTCAGCACAAAGTGTTAAGGTTGAAGGGCAGCTCCCCTTGTACCGAGCTTTTCTACTTCTAGGAAAGATGTAAAGTGTATAAGACCACCTCACAGCCACTAGGATGGCCACTGTCAAAAAAACAGAACACATCAAGTCCAACAGAGTTTAAAGGAAAAAATAAAAATTAAAGAAAGAAAGAAAAACAGAAAACAACATGCACTGGCGAGGATGTGGGGACCCCGGAGACCTCCTGTACTGCTGCTGAGAATGTAAGATGGTGTGGGCGCTGTGGGAAACAGGATGGAGGTTGCTCAAGACCATATGATCCAGCAATCCCACTTCTGGGTTTGCACCCAAAAGAACTGAAAGGTCTCCAAGAGGTATCTGCACGTCTGTGTTCACTACTCACAGCACTATTCACAACAGCCAAGAAGCAGAGGCAACTTGGGTGTCCATTGACAGATGAATGGATAGACAGAAGGTGGTATGCCTGTGCAATGGAATATTACTCAGCCTTAAAAAGAAGGAAATCCAGATAAAACATGGATGAACAGAGTTCCAGATATGGATAGTGGTGATGGTTTCACGACATTATTAACATATTGAATACCATTGAACTGTATACTTAAACATGGTTACAGTGGGGCGGGCGTGGTGGCTCACGCCTGTAATCCCAGTACTTTGGAAGGCCAAGGCAGGTGGATCACCTGAGATCAGGAGTTTGAGACCAGCCTGGCCAACAAGGTGAAACCCTGTCTCTACTAAAAATACAAAAAAATTAGCCAGGCGTGGTGGCAGACGCCTGTAGACCCTGCTACTCAGAGGGCTGAGACAGGAGAATCGCTTGAACCCGGGAGGCGGAGGTTGCAGTGAGCCGAGATTGCACCACTGCACTCCAGTCTGGGTGACAAAGTGATACTCTGTTTCCAAAAAAAAAAAAAGTTAAAGTGGTAAATTTTATACTATGTCTGTTTTATCACAATGAATGATAGGGAAAATGTGTCAGAAGCACTTCTGATGGTAAACAGATGCACCTTGAAGGTTTTCACTGCAGCATTGATAATGATGAAGAAGAGAAACTACTGAGATGCTCATTAACACGAGAAAGGTCAAAGGAATTACACTATATCCATTCAAGGGAATCCAGTCCTGAACCCACACAAAGATGCCCTGCTAAGTGTGAAACAATGACAAGCAGAGCACGTGACACACCACTCACACACACACACCACACACATCTGCACGCACACCATGCACATTCGGGCACACACAGAGGTGGAAACCCTTTTCCACTGGTATTTTCTCCTGGGGAAGGCTCAAGACTGCTATTGACCAAGCCTCTGCCGCCCTCTGGTGGCCTCTCTGGTCCCTGCCAGCATGACGTCTCCACACCCCACACACAGGCAGGAGCTGCCTGGACCTGGGACCTCGGGATGGCCCCCTCTGTGGGCATCGGAATGCACTTAGGGACTCTGCACATGCTCCCATGGGGAGTGAGAGCCACTCTCACACTGCTAGCCTCCCTTCCACAACCAAGATGTTGTTTCTGAGGCCTTTGGAGTCTTTGCTAGATTTCAGGGAAACCCAATGTACAAACCGGAAGGCAGTGCAGGTGTTAGTTGAGGGCTGGGATAGGGATTGCTGGCTCTCCCCTCCTTAATGTTTTCCCTGATGTCCTTGATGGAACCCACTGGAACCCCAGGGCTCCTGGGAACCCCATTTGACAACCACTGACCTAGATAACAAACAGCTGACACCCTTTTATATGGCATTCCTGTTATTACCTCCAAGGCAGCCACAGGACAAAGTACATCAACAGCCCTGCAGAGGGGCACAAGTCACAGGCATATTATCTCGTTTTGAGACAAGGTCTCACTCTCCCAGGCTGAGCGCGGTGGTGCAATCACAGCTCACTACAGCCTGAACCTACTGGGTTCAAGCAATCCTCCCACCTAGCCTCCCAAGTAGCTGGGACTACATGGTGCACAGTACTAAGCTTGGTTAATATTTTCAGATTTTTGTAGATTGGGCGTGGTGGCTCACGCCTGTAATCCCAGCACTTTGGGAGGCTGAGGTGGGCGGATCACCTGAGGTCAGGAGTTTGATACCAGCCTGGCCAACATGGTGAAACCCCATCTCTACTAAAAATACAAAAATTAGCTGGATGTGGTGGCGGGCCCTGTAATTTCAGCTACTCTGGAGGCTGAGGCAGGAGAATCACTTGAGCCCGGGACGCGAGGGTTGCAGTGAGCCGAGACTATACCACTGCACTCCAGTCTGGGCGACAGAGTGAGACTCCGTCTAAAAAAACAAAAACAAAAACAAAAAACAACAGATTTTTGTAGAGTCAATGTCTCACTACATTGCACAGGTTGATGCTGATCTCGAACTCCTGGCCTCGAGCAATCCTTCTGCCTCAGTCTCCCAAAGTGCTAGGCTAACAAGCATGAGCCACCGTGCCTGGCCACAAACAACAGGCCTTTTTTCCTTTTTTGGGTAAACCGGAAAGAAAGTTCCAGGAGCCAAGGACCAGCACAGGCTCTCAGGGCCCAGTGCTCACACTGGTGAACAAAAAGAGGACCCCACCACGCATGCAGCAGGCCTTACGTTTTTCCAGGGGATTCCTTCAGCCAGAAGATGTCATCACTTGTGATTCCATATTCCAAGGCACCTTCGATCTGTCAAGACAGAAATGACCCCTGCGACAAGAGCTCCATTTGGCCTGTCCTGGGGCTTCCTTAAACAGGATGCCAGCTTTGCAGAATCAACCAGAGCTGTCCCAGGGCACACATGCACAGGGCTTCCCTGCTGCCAGTCCTTGTTTGCAGGCTTGGCCTCTTTGGGGCTGCAGGTGGCCTGTCTGCATCTAAGCTGCTGTGCTCCAGGGCCCGCTGCCCTCACAGGGTACCTTTCCCCTCTGTTCCCCAGGACCTTCCCCTTGACCCTGGTTCAGAGCAGGATACAGGGCCTGAGGTGGGTACAGCACTGCAGGGGCCATACAGGCAGACAGCTGGGCCCCCTCAAGTCTGCCTGGGTTCTGGACAGACACACCAAACAGACGGGTAATGCAGCCCCAGGGAGCAACACCTGGGTTCTGGGGGGTCCAAACTCAGAGAGGGGAAGTGGGGAGAGAACAGGTCAGCAAACCAGGGCCAGCAGAGCTCAGGTGTGTCTGCGCGGCAGGGGTGGCCTGCAGGGCCAGCCAGAGGAGAGGAGGCACAGGGGGTAAGTGCCACAGGCTGAGGTGGGCAGGGCCTGAGGGGCAGCTCTGAGGGCACCTGGCTCAGCCAGGACAGACTTCACACTCTCAAGAGCTGGCCCGGGTGGGCTCTGAGCCCGGAAATCATACAGGTCACCTGAAGAGGGGCGGCCAAGCAGGTGGGAGGCCCAGGGTGAACATCCCCTTAGCGGCCATGAGAACAAGATGTGCTGGTGGAGGAAACGGATCTCAAACAGTTTATGCTTCCAAGTGGCAAAAAAAATAAAGTCAGGAATTTCTCAGGTTTGCTCAAGGAAAACCGAAAGATCTGGCAATCAAAGGGACTAAAACGCAAGCAAGCCTTGGCAGACACCCTGGGAGGGCGTGGCGGGGAGGGCGGACAGGCTCTGAGCTGCCTGCCTCCTAAGGACCAGGAGCACCTGCTGGATCCCCTGTGAGCCCAAAGAGCCATCAGCAGCTGCCTGTGAGGTGCAGAGCAGGGCCGGGCCAGGCCAGGGCTCCTGTGCAGGGCTCCCTGGTGCGGATGCACATGCAGCTCTGCCTGGGGCCTCACAGAAGCCCAATGACCGCTGGGCTGCTGGAAGCTGGCTGTGGCCTTCTTTAAGCACAACCACCATGAGCCCAGCTGCCAGGAGAGGGGATCACCTGGACCCTGTCTGCGGCAGTTGCCTTGAACAATCTCACAGTGTCATCCTACAGAGCCATGCAGCCCTGAGCCCCACCTCTGTGCATAAGCAACCTGCTCCCGCTAGAGGCTGCTGTGGCTGCTTGGCGGCCAGAGAAGTCCCGTGGCCTCTAAGGACTGGGAGTGCTTGTGCTCCTTGGGGTCCCTCCTTTCCCTGTTCCCACAGTAAGCACAGGACGAAGTGGAGGCTGGGGTCATGCCCAAGAAGCGGCAGAACCTCCCCTTGCTCCACCTCCACTGGACTGCCCCTGGGTCTAAGTCAGAGGTGGTGTGGCCTCCAGGCTGAGAGACCCGTGGTCTTCAAAAGCTTGGCTGCAGCCTACTTAGAGGCTTGGAGCAGATGGCACACGGTTCCCTGGGAGACCCATGAGGGCTGGTCTCAGCCAAACCTCTCTGCCCACCCCCAGCCCGTTTGCTTTCCCTGCCACAGCTGCCCCCACAACCCACAAGACTGGGCCAGGAGTTATTCACCTCTCTGTTAAAGACAGTGATAAAACTGGCAAGAACCGTGAGATTCAGAATTATGGAAATTAACCACAGGCTTGCAGCAACACAGGGAACAGTTAAAATCAGGAAAAACAGCTGAAGCTGAGTGAGAATGGGAGCTCCAGGGTGTTTTAACTCACTCTGGTCCCACTCCCACCTCAGCGGCAGCCTGAACAGTGACGTGTCAGAGAAAGCAGAACCCAGCTGGGGTCTTTCAAAGCCCCTCCCAAAGAAGAGTCAGAGTCAGCATCTGACCCTGACAGGGGTTCCTGAGAAGACCCCTCAAAAGGGTCATCTTTATCCGACTTCACTGGAGCTCAGCCAGGGTTAAAAGCCTTTCTCTGGGGGGCATTTGTCTGAGGTTTTCATCTCACAGCTGCCTGAGGGGATAGGTAACAGTTGGAGCCAACAACAGACTGTCCAAAACAGCTTCAAAGGAAAAGCCAAGGAATGAGATGTCCACTGGAGCTTTGAAAGGTTCCAGCATATTCCTGGGAACCTAGGCCAGGCACACACACGGCACTGTGCACACATCAGGAAGGACTAAGGAGGCCCTGAGCCCTCACCTCCAGATGACCTTGATCTCTGCACAGGCAGGAAGTGAGGGCTAGGGCAGAGCTGCCTGCTGTCTGCTGAGTGCGGAAGGCGTCCCCTCCAAACGCTCATGGAGCCCTCAGCAAAGACCGGGAGAGTGCTTAGTTTAGGGAAATCTCCATGCAGTTCTTAGCTGACCACTAAGCTAACAAGTAGAGACTTCAGTGGCCTCGTACCACAAAGAATAAGAGTCGACAAAGTCAGTTCCGAAAAGTCACCAAATAAGCAGCTGTAACAACAGAATCCTGGGGCAGAGGGAGAATCTGGTTTCCAAAGTTACCACATTAAATTATTTGAAATGTTCGGCTTTCAATTAAAACAATTACAAGATACGTGAAGAAACAAGAAACCATGACCCTTACACACTGCTGGAAGGAATGTAAAATGTAGTCATTGTGGAAAACAGTCTGAGGTTCCTTGAAAGGTTCAACATAAAGCTACCACATGGCCCGACAGTTCTGCTCCTAAGTGTAACCCAAGAGAAGTGAAAACTGAAGTCCACCAAAAAACAACTTTGCAGATGTTCACAGCAGCACTATTCATAATAGCTAAAAAGTGGAAATAACACGTGTTCATCAACAAGCAAGTGGATTAACAAAATGTGGTCTATCTATACAATGGAATAGTATCCAGCCATAAAAAGGAATGATACTGACACACGCTACAGTGTAGGTGAACCTGGAGGTCGTTATGCTCAGTGAAGTAAGCCAGTCACTAAGGGACACACACGTACGATTCCAGTTACATGAGAAGGACTAACGTGTACGATTCCACTTACACGAGGTGCCTAGTGTTGTCAAATTCATAGAGACAGAAAGTAGGTGGTGGTTGCTAAGGGCTGGGGGAGGAGGCGCTGGGGAGTTAGGTTTAATGGGAATAGAGTTCAGGGATGATGGAAGGAGTGCTGGCAATGGATGATGGTGACTGATGGCCACACAGCTCTGTGAATGTACTAAAAACCACTGAATTGTACCCTATAAAAGGCTAAATTTTATAGCGCGTGAATTTTATTTCAAACTCTTTTTAAACTGGGAGAGGAGAAGGAGGAAGATGAAGAATGAGGCTTATATCCTGAATGTGCCAACATTCTGAGGCTGAAGGGAAAAGGGAGAATCAGCAATGGAGACTTAGGAAGCAGGACGCTGAGGTGGAAGGGGACAGATCCAGCGGGGCAGAAGGAGAGCAGAACGAGAGCTGTCCTGAGGATCTGGCAGCTTGGAGGCCACTGGGGACCCTACATTTCAGCTGTGTGGATTCAAGAGCATTGGAAAGCAGAAAGTGATGACAGTGAGTATAGGGGGAAAGGGTGTGCAAGCCGCTGCCGTGGAAGCACGCGTGTAAAAGCACATCCCTCAAAGAGACCGGGGACCCGAGCCAGTGCAGCAGGGACACTGTGCTCTGGGGACACTCACGTGCATGGGGTACCTCGGGCGCCCTCCAGTAGCAATGATGATGTGGTCAGCTGATAGCAGAATCTGAGAAGAAAAAGAGAAAGCCATGGGTCAGACAGGTGCATGGTGGTCACTTACCGGAGGGCCTGAGCACTATAGACCTTGGCCAGCAGTTCCCATAGCCCCTGCCCTGCAGTGTGGACCCTCGGTCAGCAGTTCAGAGGCCCTGTGGAGCTGGAATCCCATCAACGGTCAGCCAGGCAGGAGGGGGACAGGCAGAGAGGACAGGGAGATGTTCTAACACCAAGCACTTCAAGGCACCCTCAAATCCCCAAAAAATCCTGCAAAGAGGGTGTGGCCACCAACCCTGTTGCCATATCACTCTGAGCAGCAGCTCAGTAAACTATTTGATCATGTTAAAGACAAGTGCCCAGGCTCAAAAGAAGCCACCTTGTCGATTCCAGCAGCACGTGTTACTGAGAACAGCACCCAGGCCAAACACAGCTGCAGTTGGTGCCCAAGGTCTGCAGAAGAGTCCATAAGGAGCCACACAAGTCAGTCAGATGCTCACCTCTTTCCCACCTTTGGCAACGCCGCAAACCGTGTGCTCGTCAACAAAGCTGGCTTTGATGTTAAAGTACTTGACTTTTCTGAAAGATAAAGATAAGATTTTCAAACATTTCCTCTGCAAATTAAACCTCACCAATTGTATCAAATAGGGAGCACTGGTAAAAGGGAGTTCCAGCCCCCAGCAAGGCCTGGTGCTGTGGCTCAAGTGGACCAAGAAGTAAGCAGCAACCACACTGAGAAGCATGGAGGGGTTGTGTGGGCACCTCGCCTGTCCCCCAGGGATCCCAGAGACATGTTAACCACATGTGTAAAAGCAGGGACAGAAGCCAGCTCAGCACAGTCTGGAGAGGCCATGTACACCCCTGGTGTGCAGCGAGAGGTGGGTGGACCTCTCTTGGGGACAGTCCTCAGCACCCAGACATGTTCCAGCAGGGAGCTGTGGTGCCCACCAGATGGTGTCACCTTCTGCCTTCAGGGGTGTGGTAACACCAAGAGAATGGGCATGACAAGCCCGGCAAAACGGTGGCTGGGAGCATGGTGCACAGAAACAAAACAACCCATGCTTTCTTCTTTTTTTTTTTTTTCTGAGACAAAGTCTCACTCCGCCGCCTAGGCTGGAGTGCAGTGGCATGATCTTGGCTCACTGCAACCTCCACCTCCCGGGTTCAAGTCATTCTCTTGCCTCAGCTCTTGCCTCAGCCTCCCGAGAAGCTGGGATTACAGGCTTGCGCCACCACGCCTGGCTAATTTTTGTATTTTTAGCAGAGATAGGGTTTCGCCATGTTGGCCAGGCTGGTCTTGAACTCCTGACCTCAAGTGATCCACCCACCTAAGTCTCCCAAAGTGCTAGGATTACAGGCGTGAGCCACCGAGCCCCACCCTTTTTTTTTTTTTTTTTTTAGAGACAGATTCTCACTCTGTCACCCAGGCTGGAGTGCAGTGGCACGATCATAGCTCACAGCAGCCTCGTCTCAAGTAACTGGAACTATAGGCATGGGCAACCACACCTGGCTAGTTCATTTTATTTTTTGTAGGGACATGTAGCAACAAAACTATGTTGCTCAGGCTGGTCTGCAACTCCTGGGCTCAAGTGATCCTCCCACCTCAGCCTCCCAAAATGCTAGGATTACAGGCATGAGCCACCGCACCCGACCGACACTTTCTAATGACAAAAGGACCGTGCAGCAGAAAGGGTTCTGGGAAGGCTCTGCCTCCTGCTTGAGCCTGCCTTCTCCCCACCAGCAAGCCTGCGCCTCCATGGGCTGTCTGAGGTGCATGAAGTTCCCATAGCAAGAGCCCTTCAATCACCTCAACAGCTAGGAAGCAGCTGTGGGACACAGCCATGCAATGCTCACGGCAGCACTTTTCAGAAGAGTGAAAAAGCAGAAACAGCCCAGGTGCACCCCAGCCTCCTTCTGCTGGTGGCTCCGGAGCAGGCAGTGGGCTGGGCCTGTTTGGTGCCCGCCCAGGAGCTGCCCAGGGCAGGGAGGAAGGAGGGCAGAGCCTGCTGCCCCCAGGAAACTGCACCGGGGGATACAGAGCCCCACAGAGCAAAGCAGAAACTCCACAGCACAATGTAGCTTAGCTCCCTGGATAGCGGGAGAGCTCGTGAAGCCCAGGTGGAGGGCAAGCAGTTGGCTTCCTGGCTTCTCTTTCCTGGATTTAGCGGGCACAAAACTGCTGCCTGCTGTGAAGCCCCAGGAAGACCCCGCCTGGGGCCAAGCAAATGGTGCATGAGGAGAGTCACTAGACCTCTGCAGGACCACTGTCCCCTCCACAGCCCATGGGGCACAGGCAGTGCCACAGCCCTGAGAGAAAGGCTGGGCCTGAGGTGGTACCAGTTTCAGGCATCTGCTGTGCTGGCAGCTGAGCCCCAGGAGAAGGTTGCAGGCCCAAGGAGCATCAGCCTCTGTGCTGGAGATCCCCCAGGAGCTGACAGGAACAGTGACCAAGTAGGGACATTTGCTCTAGCGGAAAGCACCAGGCCCCTGCACCCACACCCAAGGAGCTGGAGGTGTGCAGTAAGACGGGGGTTCACGGGGTGGGGGCTTGCCACTGGGATGGCCCTCACCACTTATCAGCCCCAGGCCCAGTCGTGTCCACGCTCTCTGGCCTGAGGCCTCCCAGCCCCAAGCGCCTCCTCCCTGTGCAGCCCTGGGCTCTGGCCATTCTGCCAATGTGGCCTCATTTGTTCCTTGGCAGCACCTCCAGGCTGTCCTCAGCATCAAAGGGCAGTCTCCCCTTCTCCTGCAGTCACTCCCGTCTGCTCCTTGTCCTCATCCCCACCCCTGAGCAGGACCTGAATCCCCAGAGCCTGCCAGGGCGTGCTCTGCACAGTAAGTAAGTGTGTGTCCAGGCACGAAACGCCCGGGAGAAGGCCCAGAGGGCGGCCCACTCCCCAAGAGAGCTTCAGTACCTGTCCTGCAGCTGGACACGGTGGCCCCAGTTCAAGGACTTCACGTGATTTTGAACAGCTTCTGCCATCTTCCTCCTGTGAAGACACAAAACAAAATGTAAAAGTCACAACACAGGTGTTAGCTGCAGGGTCTCACAGTGGACTATTAGATTCAAATGGTACATTCATAGAAATATCAAAAAACAAGAGTGTTTGAAAGGTGGCAAAACATGACATCCATCCCTATGCGCCACCGCCTGTCCCAGGCTTGGGGCTATGGACCTTTGGACTCACAGAAAACAGGGGCTCTGACCCACGGCTATCCAGATGCAGCTGCTCTGTGCCCCAAAGGCTAGTCACAGCAGGCAGAGCCTATCTGAGCCACTGTGGGTGTGGCTGGGCCACATGGTCCCCTTCCCAAAAGAACTCAGCTGAAGCGGCCTCCCACCCTGCATTCCAGGCCTTGGAGATGGACTGTTCTTGGTGGGGCTGTGCTGTGCACGGTTGCAGCATCCCTGAGCTCCCCACAGAAGGGGATCAAATGCTTCCCCAGTGACAACCAAAACTGTCTCCAGATACTCCCAAATGTCTGCAGCAGACAGTGCAGAGTCGCCCCTGGCTGAGAAACCCATCCTACGGCGCACTCCCCATGAGGGTTCCTGGAGGATAAGCCCCCTCTTCCTCTTCCACCCAAGAGTAGAAGAAAAGTACCAGAATGCCACGGCGCCAGGTCCTTACCAGTCATGCGGCACGGGCTGGGCCACCTCCCAGCCGTAGTGGGGGGCATCTTGGATCAGGCCTCCCAGCAGTGCCGCCTGGTGCATCAGCTTCTTGGGGATGCAGCCCACGTTGACGCAGGTGCCACCGAGGCCCCACCGGGTGCCTGGGACGTGGGAAGAGCACATTTGAATTTATGTTCAGGTGACTGCTGAAGGCTTCCCTGTTCTTCTAGAGTGTCTGGAATTCCTTTAAGTTGCTTTGTAACTCTAAAAGGGCCCAGTTGACATGCCACACGAATCTGCTCTCTATAACTATACTCAAAAATAAAAAGTTGTTTGTGTTTTTTTATTATTTGTTTATTTGAGACGGAGTTTCACTCTTGTTGCCCAGGCTGGAGTGCAACGGGGTGATCTCCGTTCACCCCAACCTCCGCCTCCCAGGTTCAAGCTATTCTCCTGCCTCAGCCTCTTGAATAGCTGGGATTACAGGCATGCGCCACCACGCCCGGCTAATTTTGTATTTTTAGTAGAGATGGTGTTTCTCCATGTTGGTCAGGCTGGTCTCG